TGCTTGCACATGCAGGTCTGATTTATTTCACTTATAAGTATAAAAGACCACATCTTTTTTTATTCATTGCTCTGTTGATGGGAATTTGGGTTATTTTCAAGATTTATCTATTATAAATTGTGCTGCATTGCATATATATTTTAAATATGATGTTGTATGTACATGATACACAAAATGTTGTCAGCATTTTTAAAATAAAATATTTTAAAAATTTTCTCCATGAAATCAAAGTCAATTACCATTGGCAAAGAGAGAATAAGAGAGACAACGGTGTTCAGGGATTATCTCACAGAGCATGGCCCATGATCCACAAAACCAGCTTGCTGTACGGCCGCAGGAATTCTGAAGATCTGCTTGTATCTACGTGATCTAAGTAGGTCATGAACTTGCAACCAGAGAACAAATTTGAGAATGTAAGAATCCAGAACCTGTAGCACTGTAAAAGTTACCATTAATCAACCCAACAATGCCCACTCTGGCCTTAGTATCATGGTTCAGCTTGTTTTTTACAAGAGTAAGAATAACCCTGCTCAATGCCAAATTTAAAAGAAAATTACTTCATTCTCTCAAATAAAGTCACTATCCTTCATTTTGCAGACCTTCAAAGTTCTGACTGATGAAATACAAAGTATTAATGTATCACGTCTAATCTACGTTTATGCTTGAGTTTCTTCCATGAGAAACTGCGCCTCAAAAAACTGAGATCTTTCTCAGTGATACTGGCTTTAAATCAGCCAATGTTCTGCCTGTTCTGCAAAGATGATTTTATTCTATCACCATGTGTACTGTATTTTCTACATTTCATTTTTATTTAAACATTAGGAAATCTGAACGAAAACACTGTTTAGCTGCATCACTTTTTCTCTTCACTTTGGTATCTTAGATGCAAAAGGTAAAACCAACTTTCACGACTTTAAAACATTATCTATATGAAACATTTATATTCTTATTTCTGAAGCCAAGAGATATGTTGCAAATATCACCTCTAGCTACATTTTTAACAGATAATTAGTGGAGGAAGAAAGCACTTGTCTGGACCACATAACTCGCTTGTGGAAGAGCTAGAACTCACATTAGACGTTTCTGTTCCCCTTCATATAATTTCCGCGTCTAGCACAGGAGTGTGTTTCGAAGATAAGCACATAGTGAAACTCCACTCTCGCCCTATTTTTGAATTTCCAAAAATTTCAACCCACCATAAAGTAGTCACCATGTTTCAGATTAAATACGGAGAGGTGGCAGCAGGATTGGCGCTTGGTTTGATGCCACCTAGTGGCGCTCGTCCTCCGCAGCCTGAACAGGGAGGTGGCAGTTCGGCCTCGGTGGCCAGGCTGACTTCGGAGGAGCGCAGCGTCTCCAAGGCGCAGCCCTCGTATTTGCACAGTCAGCGTCCGTTATGCGTAAAAACCGCTCACCCTGAGTCAGGAAGTTCCTCGAAGGCGCACCCACGATTAAGGGGCTCCCGGAATCAGTCGGCGTACGGTGCAAGCCTGTGGCCCCCGTGCCCAATGTGACCCCAGATGCACCAGGTGGCCTGGACAGCTACTGTCCTCTGCCTCTCGGATACGAAGGGGCAAGGGCAGAGAAAGGGGTGCCGGTCCTGCGTGAGGGCCGCCTCCCGCCTCCGGACACGCCTTCGAAGGGACAAGCCTGAGAGGCGGAGGTCGGAGACATCCAGGCGAGCGTGTGCGTGTGTGCATGTGCGTGTGTGCGTGGGCCTGAGTGTGAGCACAGTGACCCCAGAGGAGGGGTCCAGTTCCGCCCTGACCGAGGCCGCAGAGCCCACTTCCTCGCGGCCCACCGCCAGGGCGCGACACCCTGCGACGCGGCCGCAGGCCCAGGGACTCGGGGACCGCGGGGGGGCGGCCAGTGCGCTCGCCGCTGCCCTTACCTCCAGGTAGTACAGGTCCACGGTGGTGATCTGCGAGTCGAGGAAATCCTCATAGGTGTTGAACTGTGTGACGATGTTGTCCACGCTGGTCAGCCCCTCGTCCTGGTCCATCGTGGTTGCTGGGATCGAAGCGTCCTTAGCGACAGCAGCCTGGGGCGGGGCCGGTAAGCTCCACCCACTCAGTTCTCTCCAATCAACTGAGGGATTGTTGAGCGTGGCATGTTAGTCCCGCCCCCACCCCACGGTTAGTGACTGAGTTTTAGGCTCTGATTTAACTTCAGGGAAAACCGCCTGAAATGACCAGCGCACAAATGAGGTCTGACGGCAGCCCTGACTGCCTCCTTGGGGAAATGGGGAGCCGGGCAGACAGGAGAGCTGCACGCCAAAGAGAAGTATGACGTTGCCGGGATGTTTAGACACAGCCTTATGGATACACGCTTCCAGTCACATTCTAGATCAATGCTGTGCTGGGCGGAAATACAGAGTACTTTGCAAGAAGAGTATCTCAAAACAAGCCTGTTGTGACGAGGGCTAATAACGAATACACTAATGATTTTGCTCACTATTTTTAAAATTACAATTTAAAAGTAAGATCATTGATAATATGCTTGGAAACAACTTGACGAATTTCCCAAGCAAAAGAACCACCATGACAGTATGTTTGAATACGTCTTTTGGTGCAAGCAAGCAATAGTGCTTGCTTTTTCATTTTGTTTTTTTAATGCTTACTTTTAAATTTCAGTAAACACACGAAAAACACTTACCTTGCTGAAGTTCCCTCCCCTTTTTAAAGCTCAGAATATCTGGAAACTTGGTAAAGATCTTTTGCTACAAATTTTTATACTCCTTGAGAAGAAACGTTTTTATTTTTAAAAATATGGATTTAAAGTAATCCAACAGGCAACTGGCAAAACTTTTCAGAACCCAGTGTTGGGTTTTAATATTTTTCAAATCATCCTTGAAAATTAAAATATAGTACAGTGCTAAGCCTGTAGTGCTTGCACTCTAAGTACTTACTGGATTCATTTAGAAAGTTTTCACAGATGTGCTAAAAATATTTAAAGGAAAACATCTAGTAAGATATTTCACTTTAAGGCAGCTTATACAATTTAGGGCATCTCAAAAAGCTGGATGCCGTGAATGTAAGAATTTTAAGTGATCAGATATAGTCATTTCTATAGTATTACTGTGTCTTTAATGAATATATTCTAAAATTTCTTAAAAAGCATTTTGGAGTTTGTAGTGAATTGATAACTGGTGGTCAACTTATAACCCCCAGCTGAAGTGAGTGAGTGTGGTGCTGGGTGTGGGAGGCCCACCTGAGGACTGTTGTCAACAGCATAAAGGCAGACGTGGAGAATTAGAAGCAGGCTGTTGGGAGCTGACAGAGGCTGTGGGGAGCTGGCTTTCCTGATGAACTTGGCTGTTTTCATCCTCCGAGGAGCTCGGGA